TGAGGTGGTAGACGACGAATGTGGTGGAGTCGAGTTCATGCAACGCACTCGATTCTCGTCGGAATCGAGAGATCGAAAGTACCACACATGGGTTTTAATCATCGCGAGTGTAGTAGTGTTCTTAGTTTTAACTATCAATTAGCAGTTTGGTCAGTATAGACGTTAGGGACTGTGCTGTATGCAGATGAAAGTAGCCTATCTGAGCAGCTTTGACTTGCTGCATTTGGCATTAGACTACGACTGGACTTGAATTAAAAAGAAAAGGAAAAAAAAAAATGAGGAGAGAGAGAGAGAGAGAGAAGCTTACCAGGACTTAGCAGCTGGCCATAGGGAGAGTGGAGGGCGACATTTTTCACTTCAGTTCCGCTTGGCTTGGGAGGGCAGCACTAATGTTAATTCTACCTGGTCACAGAGAGGGAGAGAGGAGCTTACGTGCAGCTTCAATGTGAAATTGACTTGGAGAGAGTCAATGCGAAAAACGCAAAAAAGTGGGGCCGCGCGAGTGCGCGTTAACGCAGCGGCGACAGCGGCGGTGGCGGCGCCCGGTCCTCGATAGTCGCGGCTGAGTAGGTGGGGCGTTTGAACTCCGGGTTCTACCATTGCTACGCGGCACCTACCCTGCCAGGCACCATAGCTGTGTGAGAGCTATGGCGACAGTGCCTTGGCATAGCCTAGCCCTTGAGTGGGTAGGGAGTGCCTTGGCACTCGTATGCCAAGGCATCCTGGCAGCTCTGTATCCGACCTCTATAACAACTTACAGACCTCACGAGACCATGACACCAGAGGAGCTGCCTTCCCTTCAAGCTTCTTGCCGGAAAGGGGGGGCTCCTTTTTCAATACCTACAGGCCGCGCGTGGTACTTTACGACAGGTTATCTGGACTGCCTCGACTAGAAGGAAGCATGGAAGGTGGAGCGGCGTACCTGGACGAAGTGGGAGAGCGTACGGCTGAGGTGGCAGCGCTCCGGCATATCCAAGGGCTGCAGCAAGTCCTGTTTGACCTATTTGTGTCGCGAGGCATCATGATGTTCACTTACCTTAGGGTGATTCATTCGACTTGGCTTGCGGCTGCAGCAAGGCTAGTTTGACCTACTTTCTTCGCAAGGCATTGTGACGCTCACTTATTTCATGTTAGTTTTCGATTAATTTGGTTTGCGATGGTATTAGGGTGAAGTTCATGGGACTGGGAGGATATGAGAGACCTGGTGAAGAGCAAACTAGAGTTGTATCCATTGGGTGCGTGGTGGGCAACCCGTCTTGGCAACAAAGGCTCTTTACAGTGTTTAGGTTTGTGTTGATGTGTGGATCACCCTAACGCTTGTCCATGCTTTCACTTTTTGTGCGTTGATGTGTGGAATCCTTCGTTTTCATCTGTTGCCTTGTATAGTTTGTTTAGTCTCCATTTCTAGTCCATGGCATAGTTGGATGGTCTTTGAATTTTGAGTTACCTGTTGACATCTAGAGTAGTATGAGTGTTTAGGTCAGTGTTGAGGTGTGGATCACCCTACTGAAGCAAGCGGGCAAAGTTCTTAATCGCGATGCATGTCGTCGATGGATGTGGTCCGTTTTTTATTAATGTTGAATTTTCGGAATTTTCTGCTCTTAACCTGGTCAGGTTCTTCGCCAGGATCCTGAGCACGATCCTGGTCAGGTTGTCATCCTTCGTGACGGGGTTTACGGTCAGTTTCGTTTCGTACATATAACCTCTCTCGCCCTTGAGTAGTGAGTAGTTATAGTTGCCCTTGTCTGTTTGAAAACGGACTAGATGTTAAGTTGAGTACATAGGGTGTTAAATCTGTGGCTTAGGATTGGAAATGAAGGCAAACTGGTGATAGTTCTTTGATACCCGCGGAATTGCTAGTAGCGGCGCCTCCTTGTGCAGTGAGAGTGTAACAAGGGGCGGTGGGAACGTTACGGCTAGGTGGCATGAGAGAACCGGTGAGGAGCAAACTTGAGTTGTACCCATTGTGTCCGCTAAACCACGAAGGACCAAGGGTGCGTGGTGGGAAACCCATTATGACAGCTCAGGCTCTTTGCAGGGTGATTGGAACAGAGTGGGTGATTGGGTAGCTCTATACAGCAGCTAATGAGTGTGAGAATAAAGCAATTTGTACGATAGTCAGGGTGAAACCCAGGGAATTACTGACAGCGGCGCCATCTTGAGCAGCATGAGCCCATGAGGGCATCAAGAGGCGGTGGGAACGCTTTTGGTGAGATGCTATGAGAGAACCGGCGAGAAGCAAACTTGAGCTGTACCCATTGTGTCCGCTAAACTATGAAGGTCCAAGGGTGCGTGGTGGGAAACCCGTCATGGCAGATCAGGCTTCTGGCAGGGTAGTTGAACAGGGAGGGTAGTAGGGTCACTCCTGCAGGTGTGATCAATTAACTGCTGTAGGACTGTTCTTTATTTTTGGGAAACAATATCACCACGATTA